TATATGTTTATATTTTGCGTATGAGAATAAGTAAAAGGAGTTACATAGGAAGCTGCAATGAGAGAAAAGATCATAAGTATAGGATGCATATGAGTCGCAACGAATAGCATAATGTATCGAGAGAAAGATGCTAGGTATATAAGATAGCGCGTACGGCGGCAGCAGCGGCGGCGGCGCTGCTCAATATCTTCATGCGTATAATGGTAACATTTGATAGTCGAATGTATAACAAAAATAACTGTTCCCAGAACTTATTATGTCGATCTTCTCGCGGCGGTACTTTTGATTTACTTTGTTTCATATACACTGACTGCCATAGATAAATCCCGGGGCAGTCTCGCTATAGCAAGGAATGCTTCTCAGCGTCAGTCTTTGTCAAAGTTCATCCGGGTAAACTGTCCGATGTGAATGACTTCAACTTACAAAAGTATTCTGCCAATAGCGGAATATTTTTGCATGTTGAGTTATGTGATTAAGTGTTACGCGTGTGTGTGTGTGTGTATTTGTAGAATGAAGAATTCCGGCGAGCCTCCAGCCAAACGGCTAAAAATTGAAGAGGAAGAGAACATCAACGTCGAAGTGGATGTCCTCGATGAAGAAGAAGAAGAGGAAATGGAAGAAGAGGATGTCCTCGTCGACGTTGATGTTTTCGGCGATGAGGACATCCTCTTCAATGCCGATGTCAATGAAGAAGAGGAATTGGAGGAAGAGGAGGATCGTGAGAAAGAGATCGTCAATGGTTTCAACTTCAACAACGTCAGCGCCCAGAAGGACGTAGAATTCCTGATGGCTCTCCTCCATGTAAGAGATTATAAACAGCTATTCCACGTCCTCGAAGAGGCAGTGTAGAAGGAGGAGGAGGAGGAGGAGGCCGAGGAATAAAAAAGGAGGAAGACGAAGAGGAGGAGGAGGAGGAGGAGGAGGAGGGGGAGAAGGGTAAGTAATCATCAACTTTTTTCATGAATTAAAAAATTTAAATAATAAAAGTAGGCTCGACCGCGATCCCAAAAGTAGGTGCTTTATTATATTCAATAATTCTAAAAAATAATATAAATATAAATAATAAAAGTAGGCTCGACCGCGATCCCAAAAGTAGGTGCTTTATTATATTCAATAATTCTAAAAAATAATATAAATATAAATAATAAAAGTAAAAATAATATAAACAATAAAAGTAGGCGCGACCGCGACCCCAAAAGTTTCCTTTCGTGACCGCGACGCCAGCGTCGCCTGGCGGAAACTCTGTGGCTGTATCCGTGGTCCAGAATCGGCCTAGTATTACTACTTAAATGATTTCTTCAGTATCTCATTAGTCACTACATTTTTCATTCGTTACATCTCGAGTCAGACGTATAATAACGTCGGATACCTTTTTTTCCGTATCGCTACGCACTTTTAAACTATTTCTCTTTCTGCATATCCTGGAGCGCGCGCACGATTATATCTCTCCCTGTCGTTTTAAACGATTTCTCTAACGTCTCCTTCATCATTATATTGTATTGTATTATTCATTTGTTGACGTAGATCAGTTACACCTCGTTGAATTTCGTTAGTATCTAACACCTCTTTCGTCGCCATATTATGCATTTCTTGACGCAAATCAGTTATACCACGCTGAATCGCGTTAGACACTTTCGTTGATAGCGCGCTTACACTTTTCGAGACTTCCTCCACGTTTCGTACTTTTTCCATTCGAGATATCTTTTTGCGTATCCTGAAGCGCGCGTACGATTATATCTCTCCCTGTCGTTTTAAACGATTTCTCCAATATCTCATTAGTCACTACAGTTTTCATTTGTATAGTTACATCTCGATTCAGATGCTGAATCTCGTCAGACATCCTCGTCATGCTCTTTTCCACGTTTCTTCGCACCTTCT